TATTACGCCTCAAGNTTGGTGCTGTTCGTATCTGTAGCATTCTGCATTCTAGCAAGCTGGTGCTTCTTTTGTTGCGCACCTCCTGTCGTTTCCCGTTTCCTGGTTAGCTTTTTACTTTTTAGCTCTTAGCTGGTTTCTTGGTATACGTTCAGGGCTGCCGTGTCGTTGTGTCCTTCGTAGAGTCCAGTATACGATAGCGTCGCTCATCAACCCAACTGATGGATGCCACTTGGTTGCTTGGGAGTAATATTATAATGTTTCAATATTTCCTCATGTCCAAAACAAACACATTCAGTCGTTGAACTCGAACTTTCTATCATTTTCCCCGCGATAGTGCCTCTGTCAGATGGGCCAAAATCACTCATTTTTTTTGCTCTAGTGAAGCCAAATCGCGTACAAAAGCGCCTCCGGCGGGGCGCCTCCAGCGGGGCCCTCCGGGGGCGCCTCCGGCGGGGCCCCCTCACCAGCCGGGGGGGGCCGATGGTCGCGGCTGCGCCGCGACCGCGCGGCTTCGCCGCGCCACCAGTGTACTGATCGGATCCAGTTTACTGACTGCTGACGCAGCCAGTATACTTTTTACTGGCGCGCAGCGCCAGTACCCAACCCTACAATTTGTCCAATGACGGTTTGTGCGATAACTTTCGAAAAAAAAACAATGGAAACTTGAAACAACTTTGGCCGTGACGGCGGCGTCGAGTTGCGTCGATATCCGGTGAGTTTTTTAATTCGGGTGTTTTGCGACATTTTCGGCCCAAAATGATCCACGGTGCCCCTAACCCCCATACCCTCATCATATCATGTCACGGAACCCCCTATACCCCCCTAGCCCCAACACTTTAACCTATACATCTGAATGTGCGCCGGTGCGCCGGGCGATTGTCGAGCGGTGAGGTTGCGTCGCACTCCGAGGCGGCCCAACCTCTGGACACACAGCAGTCTCTGCCGTAGGCCTGTCCTCCATCGGCCGTTTTTTTTTCCTTTTTCGGACGCTTTTTTTTTCTCTTTCGGCCGCTTTTTTCCCTTTTTCGGCCGCCCCAATTTTTTTTCGGCCACCCCAATTTTTTTTCGGCCACCCCAATTTTTTTTTCGGCCACCCCATTTTTTTTTTCGGCCACCCCAATGTGTGCCCGTACTAGCCCGTGCAGGTACCCTTTTAACACCCTCTCGTGCATCCTATGCTTGTTGCGCAAGATGGATCGGGGCTCGTCCATTTATCTGTGTTCTTTGGAAGTAAATAACTCTGTGTCTAGTCGCAGTAATGC